TTAACAAAAATATATGTATCAATATTCAAGTCAAAAAAATCCCAAATTGAAGTTTAAAAAAAAAACGATTGTGATTGCGAAATATAACGGTAATATGTAAATATTATATTTTGTTAGTTGGCATTAGCATTGATCTTGCTTTTGGCAAAAATGAAAATAGGATGAAAAATAATAAATTTTCACAATTCATTTCTTGTACTTACTTCTTTTTTACTGTACATTTAGCACATTTAACAGATCAAAATCATTAGTTCCATTTTTATTTTTTTTTCTTCGCGTTTTATTACAAGACAAATGTTAAAAATGTTTTAAAGTGGTTTATCAGTTGACAACAGTAGTGTATAAATTTAACTTTCATTTATTCCGACACTAGAAAACAACAATGCGAATCTGTTTATGTTTAGTAAACAATCTGTTTACAGTAACTATCTGTATGCCAATAATAAAAATGTTGGCATCTGAGTTCGTCAAAACTATTGCGCGCAATTGTTTGTGTGCCAACTATCGAAAACAATTACAAATACAAACACAAACACAAACACAATTCGATACTTCTTTTTATTGTTGCAAATAAATTTATTGAACGTTTTTCTAATATGCGAAATGAGGTGTTTTAGTTTATTGAATTTCTGATTTATTTTCAGTCCAAATATTACATGCTAAATAAACTCTTTTTTCAGCTTCAGTAAACGTTATGTTATTCGAAAAGCATATCCAACGATATACGATGATGTGGTCTTCGTGTCTGAAAAAACAATGAGGGAAATTTTATCGGATGACTTGAAACAAGTAGAAAGGCGCTATAATCGACAATTGGATAATCTTGCAATTGATACCGAACAGTTGGCACTTAAATTGAAGAATAAAATTCAAGACTATGAAAAACTGAATAGGCAATACACATCTCAACAGGTAAGAGATTGAAAGGAAAATTTGATCTTTTTTCAATAAATTGAAAAACAAATTTAGAAAGAAGAATTTAATAAAACATTCAACGCAATTTCAAGGTAAATTATGATTTATTGGAAGGACAGAAAAAGTCATTGGAACGAAAATTAGAAGACGAAATAAGAAATTCCATTCGATTGAGCCGAGAAGTGGAAAGTCTTCGATGGACCAAACGGAACTTACAAGAATACATTGACAAAATTCAAAGTGAACATATTGAAGAAATTCGTAAAATTATCGAGAAACGTCATTAATGCCATCTCTGGCACAATAATTAGTTGTTATGTTGTTAACACAGAAATAATTAATGAATAAAGAACAATTCAATTTAGAACGCTACTACTATTAAATATGTTAGTTCAAAATCAGTCTGAATCAGTTGTTTGCGTGCACACACTGCAATCTACTGAGAAAACTTCGGTTCGAAAATGCTATCAACTTTTAGATTGAATTTAAGACAGTCAACGAAAGCTTTTCGCGATAGCCAATGATAGGCTATTTAAAAATTGCATTCGGATATCGACGGATATAATGTATCTTCAATTTTATTTCCTACAGCTAACATATTCAGCGTGACAATGTAATTGGTTTAAACGATAATTTGCACAGGGATTGATGCATGAAAAACTTCCCAAACGGAACTTCACACTAATTTAACTCTCACCAATATCGTGTGTACTGAGAGCTACTACCGCTTTGTCGCTCTCACACTCTTGCACTTTCGCACTTCAGTGTGATATGACGTGAGAGCAGCAAACCAGCTGCAGATCAGTGTGAATTTCGTTTTGGATTAGATCGCTTACAACTCTCGTTCAAATAAGAAGATCAAAAATTTAAAATTGCTGTCTTATTGACATCCAACTTGAATAAATTTGCTGTTTTATCCTAGTTGCAACTAAGTTGAACAAAAAGTGTAAAAATGGCACAGTAAGTAAAGCAATTGAAATGAAGTTTTGAAAAAATTTCATCAAAATAAAACCAAAATCGCATGAGCTACATTTTATTTCTGAAGGGAGTGGTACAATTATTAGAAGCAATATTTGTATATTGGTGAATTTTACAATCATCAGTTAATCATAAAATTAGAACCATGAAGCTTTACTTTGATTTGTAGCGGAGTTATCAACGTTAGCAAGTGATTCGATTATTGATCAACATCTTCTATATTTCTACATGCCGACTGCATTTTACACTTACTTGCCAAAAAAAAACTTGGCATGAATCTTTCACTTAAGCGCGTGATACTCACAAATTGGCTCTCCCATACTTCGTCATAAAATGGGAATTGTACTAACATCTTGAATAATTTTGATTATTATAATGATGGAATATAATCTTATTTTTCATGCTCAGTGAACGAGTTCTTTATCAAAAATCCTTTCCAAGTAACAACATTAGCCTAGTCTATACATTCGAAAAAGTCATGGAGAAGATCGTTGCTGAATCACCAGACCTAAAGAAGCTGGAAAAGCAATTTAAAAAGCAGCTAAATGAAATTGAAATTGACAAAGAAATGTTGGAAACTCAGTTGAAGAACAAGAACAAAGAATTAAATCAACTGCATATGCAACTCAGAGACAAAGAGGTACTGAACGGCTTTTTTAACTTTTCATTATACAAGTCATCATTTATATCTAATCAATATTTGATGTTATTTTAAGGAACATTTTGACAAATTGGAACAAGAAAAAAAGTCGCTGGAACGACAAATGGAGGTCGAAGTGATCACAAACTATAGTTTGAGACGAGAAGTCGACAATCTTACATTGGCCAAAAAGAAGTTAGAAATTTACATTGACCATATTGAGATGAAGGAGTAATGTTGAACCACAGAGATCATGAATATGTTTTAAAAATCCCATGCATGTGGAAGTATTACCGAAAGAATAAAACTTTCCTTGTAAATCTTCTTTTTTTTTGTGATGATGAACTTTTTTTTACATGAATAAAGATAAAAAATAATACGGAACATTTGCCGTTCTTAAATTCTTTTCACTATTCACTGGTACTGTAGTTCATCTTTCTAGACTTCATCTAGTATTTCGAAGAAATTTTCAATCATGATTTGAACAACACCAAATCATTTCATCAGATCAAAATCAATCAGTCGAGGCATTTGGCAACAGGTGTGAAAAATCTTAAAATAAACATGTAGCGCATTCATAGAGTCGTTTCCTATGGCGGTAAGTTTTATTGTGTCTGTACTAGTAGTGTCTATATCATGTTTTATCGTCTATCTAAGAAATAATAATAAGCAGACTGTCTTCACCTGACATTCCAACCGAAGGAATTTTCGATCGTTGCCAGCTTGTGCAAGTTGTATAAATACATTATCTACTCGATAACAAGAGTTATTTTGATTTAGTCGCAATATTAGCGAGGAGTGATAAAGAGCTCAGTCCTAATATTGTTCAAACATCAAATTAAATTATCCAATTAAAAGGAAAAGCATGGGTAAATTAGGAAACATCAAAAATACGCCAGTAGAAGAGTAAGTAAATGAAAATTAGCTCGACTTGAAATAAGCAAAAACAGCAATTCTCATCGATTTAAATCGAATCGTTTTTTTATTCGTATTTGATTCAAAATGTGCATTCTTCTGTCAATAAAATTGAAGCTGTCCTTCATGTGTCGACATAAAGTCGATGATTGTAATGCGATTATAGTAATAAATTGATGAAGCATTTCAATGAATTTCATATCTACTTCATGTTCATTTTAGTGATGATGAGGGAGTAGACTTACGTAATGGAGCTCCAAGTGATAATTTTGGCGCTTCGTTCATTTTCGAAAGAGCACTCAAAAGAATGGACGTACAAACTCAACAACGCAGGCTGCAGCAGGAAAAGTTTGATAGCCAATTAAAGAATGTTGAAAATGATTACAAAATATTGGAGCTCAGATTGACAAACAAAGACAAAGACCTCCAAAAACTGAATGACAAATTGAAAAGTACACAGGTATTTAGAAAATATTACGCAAAAATATTCCATAGAGTATGAAAACTAAACCAGTTTTTTTTCTTTTCTAGACACAATTGGTGGCAATAAAAATCGAAAAGGACATTTTAGAAATGAAACTGGAGGCTGAGTTCAAAAATACTCATCGTTTGAATCGTGATGTCGAACATCTAGATTGGGCGAGAAATGAGCTTTTAGCTATGATTCACCGCAGTAGAAATATCGAAGAATTACGCCAAAAATTGCTGTCGAGGAAATTATATTGAACAGACTTATAATTAAACAACTTTCCTATGAAACAAATCAATTTTGGCCGGTTTTATTTAATTCCATATTTTTCACTCACAATTCGATGAATTTTTCTCGAATCTTCGGCTGAAGTGGGTTGTAAAATTAACTTATGAATAAAGCTGAATTTATTTTATTTGACGGTAACTTTTTTTTTAATTTTCATGAAAACATTTCAAAGAATGATTTTACTAATCAATAAATGAAACCGAAAACTTTAAAACCATTTGAAGATTTCGTTATTTAAACCATTGAAAGAAAAAAGTTCCAGTAGAAAGTTGCACAAATAGAGCACACTTTTCCCACCATGTGCATCTCCACTGTGATTAGGCTGAAAGCAGAAGATGAAGAAGATATTTGTGACTTTCAATGAATCTACCATTTCATTGTCAAGCAAGCACATCTAATTGTACTTTAAGCGTTATTGCAATATTATGGGTCGAGCGCAATCTTTTGTAAGTATTTCGAAATGCTGCCATTTAAAAAAAAAACAACATAACAAGCTTTGTTGATTGATTGCCAATTTTTTGCATCGATAAATGTCAATTGTGGTGACGCAATAACGATGAATCAATGAAAGATTTATTACGTCAATTCGACGCTTTTCATTTTCGTTTGTGCAGCTAGCGTTTCAAAACAAAAAGGAAAATTAGATCATTTACAACTCTTGAATGAGATACAACTCATCCATTTGAATAAATTTCAAAATTAATTGTGCACAAATAAGTGGGTATTGTGTTTTGATCAACGCAAAAGTGATAAAATGTCAAAGTAAGTTAAACACAAATTATTTTTATTCAACTCAATATTAGTATCTTAAAAAAAGCGACCGATATTCGTATATTTTTCATCAAATTACTACTTTTATTTTCAAAGAAATCGCTCAAGTTGTCGCAATGGAGTCGTAGTCGTTATCGAAACAGACAAAAAACTTCAAGTTCAGTTGAATGAACGACTAGACAAAAGTGAATATGAAAATGACTTGTTGGAAACCAAGCTGAGCAATAAATCGTTTGAAATTGCTAAATTGGACAAACAACTCAGAGAGAAACAGGTGAGAAGACTTTCATAATTATTGTTAGTTTAAAGTTATTTCAAGGAGAAAATCCAATTCTGTCCTTGAACAGGAACAATTTGCTGAATTGAAACACGAAAGAGATTTGCTAGAGATACAATTGCAAGCTGAAATAAGGAATTCAAACCGCTTGGGTCGAAATGTTGAAGAGCTTTCATCAATGAAAAGAGAATTATTGGATCGGATTGATCGCATTAAAAGTGAACACATTGAGGAGATGCGCGAAATAATTGAACGACCGAAGAAACATCGCTACCCGTGTGAAAAAATAGTAATTGAGCAGTCAGTTAACTAATTTGGGACAAAAATGACTTACTTTGATTGACATTTCAGTACAAAGTCTAGTGTAAGTCTATCATAGTTAACTGAAATCATTTGAACTTAAAAGTCAATCTGAGTTGTTTCATTTGGGACAAAGTGATTTTCTTAGAACAAAAACATAAATTCAATCGACTAAAGTCAACTGAAGTTATAGTCAGTCAGTCAGTCATTTTTTTTTTTCACACGGGTAAACAGTCGGGATGTATATTTTTTTAATACTAAGTTTATCTCTGTAATTGTGAAAAAAAAGTGAAATGAAACATGAAATACCCCAATGAAAACCTAAAAAACATATCAAATATCATTCTAATGTTAACAGTGCTAAGTTGTTACCTCTTCTACTCATTCGGAGAACGAACTGATTCACACATTCGATTCCGTTGCACAGATGCCAATTTTATTAATTGATCAATTGATTGATAGTTTTTAAGCGATAACTGATCGGTTGATGTTCATTGAAGTTTTTATTTTTAGCAACTACAGCGAACAGTCTTCAATGAGTCGAACAGTCGATGTAAGTCAAATAAACTTTTTCAGAGTTGATGTTTATCTTTCTTTGAATGCTCCCCGATGCGTCGAAATTCAACGTCATTGCATAGGTTATTTGTAATGGCATTTCAGTGCCAATCTATTCTGGCGTCATATTCTGTTTGCAGATCATAGTCAATGCAATTCGATTTGTCGATGAATGAATGACAACTTCTAACAGTTCCCTGTCAAATGATACGTAGAATTGCTTTAATCCTTGGACATTGGACAATATTTGAATTCGCCCAAGAGAACAATAAACGTCAACTCTAATTACGAATAGATTTAATCAAGCCGTCAGAAGCTGTGCAGAGTAACGCAATGAGTTCAATAAGTTAATTATAAGAACTATATGTTATTCGATGAATTATTTCGCGTTCTACGCCAATTCAGTTGAACTATTCAGTTCGAAATCACAAAGTGATGAAGTAAAAAGTGAAAATCAGATTTAGAAATAATATTTATTATTGAAATTGAGTCTTTGTGTGAAAATTGAGTGAAGAAATTCATTGTTATACGAGTACATTTAGGATTAAACTAGCTACCGCTAGATGGCAGAATGAAAGCTATTTGAGTAGAATTTGTATCTATTTGGAGATCACAGTTAGTACATCCAATTCCAAAATTCTTCTTTTAAATTCAAGTGAAATTCGCGATCGAGTATTTCACAATATTTTTTTCTTTTCATTCTATCGTTTTGTTGTTTTTTTTATCCGTTTTCTACTTCATGATAATTCTCACCTTTGAATAATTGCATTTCGTTCATTCTGTTCATTTGGTAAGTTTATTTGAAGAAATCAAATAACGACAATGTAGCAACAAATTGATTTTTCCCCTTTTTAAAACCGCTTTCGAAAACAATTGATTGGTAATTCATGGTACAACCAAAACGACACCGAAACCAACGAATCATTTGTCTTGCCGTGTGAAAAAGCGTTTGAGATGGACTTGAAGCGGCACTTTTTTCATTAGATTCCAAGAGGCATTGCATGACTGTTGTTGCATCAACATATGCACGAGAGTTCTTGTGCCGTATTAGAAGTGATGCAAAAGTTAAAGGTCACTTCTAGAGCAATCAATTTTAATTGTGAAAATATAAGACGCAGTTCTCTCTGCGCTTGTGATGATCCCGTCTATATAAGGGAATCGACCCAACAAACTCTCTGCGGTGCGCACACAAAGAGAGAGAAAGAAAGAAAAGTAAACGAGATGAGCGTGTAGTGTGTTTGAATGCTGTGGCACAGTAACACTGTAACAAATGTAAACGGTATGGTGTCTACGATGTGCATTGATCGTGCCAATAAAACGCACATTGAGATAGAGGTTCCGTTTCATAACTCACTCTGCAGGCAGTAATTTATCGATTTTTGCTATTTTATTTATCTGGATAGGCCACGGCAAAAAAAAAATATCTATGCGAAAAGTGCAGTTTTTTTTAAAATATGGCAAATGCATTGATTTCTGCTTACCCGTAGATGGAGTGTGCGTTTTTTACCGTCTGTCATTAAAATACAAAACTCGAATCCTCTTCATAATTTCTGTCCCTTTCGTTATTTATACTACAACGTAACTGGCAGAGAGAAATGATAGTGGTCGATTAGCACAAATGTTGTCAATTTTGAAAATTATGTTTGAAATGTTTTCGATTCTCATTTCTGCTTCTCACATGGACACATCATTAAATTATGTTCTTGCGTGATTTACTTCAGTTACGCGATGACACTATAGTGAGATACAACAAATTGGATAACGGTTGTGTTAATTCACGCATCAAACTGGCGCAAATGAGTTGAAATTCGTTGTCGAAATTAAAATACGATTTGTTTAATTTCGGCCGAAATGCGCTTTCTAAACGGAGTTTTTATTCGTCTGAAAATGAGGTGACTGAAGAAATATTCATAAAATTAAATGGATTATGATGCTAATGGTGAAAAACTTGTTATTCTTCTCTGTTCACAGAAACATCCATTTCAGAATGTGACACACAGCGTTGTCACTTGCAACCATTTCTTCAATTTCTCTGGTAATTCGTTGGTGTTCAAGACTTTGATGGTGGTCAGTAAAAGTTGATAGAAATCAACTTGTTCATATGAGTCGAATAAAATTTATTTCATTCATTGGCAATTCCATGATAATGAATTAAATTTTATTGAATTTCCATTTGTAAATGTTTGTTTTTTCTATCGTATAAAATGCCATGCTCAATCTGGGCATATGTGGCATTTGACTAATACTATTGGTGTAGCATATACTACAACATGTCATATTATATTTCCCCATGCAATTGAAATGCATAGTTCAAACTCTAGCCAGATTTCCACTGTGGTTTGTATGCATTTGGAATTGGGTTTTCGTTAAAATCTTTTCACACCTACGCAGCCCCGAGACGAGATTATTTCAATCCTTTTCCATTTACTTTTCCATTTATTCAACGGTTTTCAGCCGTTGTGGCGGTGAATCATGATGGCGGTCGTAGACAAGATGACACACATTAAGAAGGAAGGCGACATGTGAGAAAGTTTTTAAGCCACATGATGCGATTGAGTGTATTTATGACATTTAATACTTTTGAACATTCGCTATTTAACCCGATCGCATATAGTACGTGTGTGATTGAAACAAAGGTGTGGCTACACGGTTCAAATAGGTCTACATCGTATTCACAAAAGGATGGAGAGATTGAATAAAGGAGAAAAAAGATCGTCGTTTGGTCGTCTTTATACATGCAATAGTTGATGCAATAAAAGTCATTTTTATGTTTTTTTTTCTCTCGATGCCACAATAAAAACGTCGCTTTGTGTTGAGCCAACAGAGAGATAGATGTCTATTGTTATGGCAACAATAACCTTTTTCTCAACGCAGTACACACATTTGCTCGAATGCTCGTATGGATGTTTTGATGATATTTTGATTGAAGTGCTGTGTATGCGCACATATAATTCTTAGTAAAAAATCGATTAGTGCATTATTCGTCTTTTATGTGTGTTGATTGAGCAATAGCGATTGTAACCAGCAAATAACATTTTATTTTAAATGCTATTCACTTCTCTCTCTTTCTCCCGCTCGTCGGACAGAGAGTGACTTCTTTATTACTCCGCAACCAGTGCGACGGACTGTAACTTTGTGTGTTGTGATAAAGGCTTCGCCGTTTCGATGCCGAACCATAAGCAGTATTATTCTTTGTTGTTGCACTTAAAGTGAGATAGAGAAGTAGAATTGTTTCAGTGCTACATTAAGATACCACAACGTCGAGAGAGTTTCTCGGAATGATTCGATTGAGTTTCAGTGAGTTCGAAAAATTACTTTTCGTCTGTAACAAATTGATACTTGGAAATTATTCTGCAAACTATATGTTGAGCAAAAATGCAATGGCTTCAATCAACTTCGTTAATACTGATTCAATTGTTGAAACCTCTTTTCAAAGTATCTTATCGAATACGCGCCGCAGCAAAACCAATGATAGTTTAATGCTCAATCAATGAGCATTTGAAAATGAAAATTTCAGATCAAAGCACTCTTCACTTTATTGATTACAGACTTTTAAGTAAGATTTATTGCGATGTAGAATCACAAATTAAACGTTTGCTTATACAACGAATTAACCATAATTATATAGACGCCCGTTGAATTCGTTTCGATACGAACATTTCCATTCTCGTGAAAACGCATCTCGTCGTTTTGTTTTTCTTATTTAAAATTACCATAGTGTGCATGGAGAAGAACGGAGGGGAATGGAGAAATGCACGAAAATCATGCCTTGTCTTTCACCGCACCATTCCAACACTAAATGCTGGCAATTAATCAGTAAATGCACACGGAAAAACTAGTTTCTATCATTTCCATTTGGGTGCACTTGGAATAGAAATCTAAACAAAGCCATTGATTGCGCTGAATCGATGCATCGGCGCTACATTATCGTGTATTCCATGTCTACTTCTTCTGGTTTGAACAAAATCTTGGATTTTTTTTTAGGTTGAAAAGAAGAAGAGCATTCGTTTATGGATTTGAAACGATGTTATTTATGACAAAAAAAAATAGATTCCGACCGAAGAATACACCTTGTTTTTGTTTATGACTTGTTATCGATCAATCAATTGCAAAGATTAATCGAACAACAGCAGATAACATTTGTTTTATTCTAATTTAGAGATTTTGTTGTGTGCGCTCGTCGAAAATGTTCAGGAATGTTCTGAACAAGATTATAATGCAATAATTTAGATTACGATTTTTCACTTCGAATTTTAAGTCGACCAAATAAAAACAAGAGAGAAGAACCAATTAAATGTTATGACAATAGGATTTATGAAAACTTTTGAAATAACACAAGTGCATGGTTCTCCATTCAATTGTTTACAAAGTTGAACAATGAGCAGAGTCAAGCAATATATACTCAACAATCAGATGCCAAATTGGCATTGCTAATCTGTCTATCACCGTTTATAATCATGATGCAATTTTGTCAACACAAACAATCGAACAATTTTGTATTTTTGCTATTGATTCTGCTAGATGTATTCTATAAAATTGATACCGAATCAATATGATTGTGAACAAAATAATTTTGTTTATTTCTTCTTTTGGTTTTCACGTAATCGTTATCTCTTAAAGATAGCCTGTGTAATCTTGATTTCAATTGACACAAATTCATTGTGTGAATTTGCCTATAAATAGAGCTGTGGTTGTTGCGGTCATTCGAATCATTGTTGCGGTCATTCATTGGCTTGTCGTACTGGCAATCTTCAGGTTGGCTCATTGTATTTTCACAAGTTTGATAAACAAGAATGAAATTCTTAATAGTGTTGGCGTTAATCGTTACTGTTGGCTGTTGTGAAGCGGAGAACTGTTGGGATGGCCTTGAAAAAATCAGAACTTTAGCCGAGGAACAGTCTGCCATTCGAAATGTTTCAATGGATGTGGTGCGTAGATTTTCGTTGGATGTGAAAAGTATTGTGATGTGGCGTGAAATGGTCAACAAAATGACCTTGGGCAAGAATGAGAAAAAATCGGCTCAAACTTTTTTGGATTATGTGTATTTTACGTTCAAACTTGCCAATGAAATTGAACAGGAAAACGCATTCTCATACGGAGAGAGGTTTTCCAAAATCGAAGTCTTCTATGAATCACCAGGTAGTTTGACCGCAAAGCAACTCTGCGACGCCAATAAAGAAGTCGCCGATGCAGTGGAAAAAACAGCCAAAAGCCGAGAACGCATCGAAAAATACATCGACAATGTGAATGAAAAAATGGAAGATATCAAAGCGAAAATCCAGAAACTCAAAGCAAAATTACCAGCTACCATGACTGATAGCAAAGAAGAATCAAGAGAAGATGAAGCTATTCGGGAGAATGCTTTCCGAGACCTTAAAAAGGCATCACAAGATGTGATGGACGCAATCACGGGCAAGAGAGTTACCAAGAGTCTCATCATTCCAATGTTTAAAGAAATTAAGGAAGCCGTCAAAATTGAAGACAAACTGCTGAAAGCACTCAACAAAATCTGCCTGAAAATTGATTGAAAAAGATTGAAATGAAACGATTTTTTTTCGATGTTTTTATCTTCTTATTTTTGTCAATCAAATAAAAATCATCTTGATAATGCAAGTCAAGTGTTTATTTTATAATAATTTGTCGTACGACTTGTTTAATTATTGCATCTACCTTTAGCAATGGAAAATTTCATTATAAATTTGAATTGATGCAAAGAATTCCGTTTGATGCAAAGAATTCTTGATGAATTTTCCATCTATGACGAAATAATTATTGACTTATTGAGCAATAAATTACTGTTTACTGAACAGCATATTCAAATCGAATTGATTAAAAAATGTGTTTTTCTCACTCATGCTGAAAATATATGATAAATTAACATTTTATCTTCAATCGTGTTGTTATTTTCTAATGAGATCATATCGTGTAATTAATGATCAAACGTGTAATTTTTACCAAAATATTAAACTATTTTTTTTGCTCACAATATGAGAAGAATTTTAAAAAACAACACAGATGAACTTAATAGAATTCAAATTTGTTGTAAACGTGCTGAAAATAGAAAACATGCTTTTAGTTTGAATCGTAATTCTTTGTTTAAAATGCCTACTTCGTCCCATTTCTCATCAGTATCGTTTTAATTGGAGAAGACATACAGCTAACCACAAATTGTCGCAAGAAATGTTTTGAATCATTTGCTCGATTGAATCATCAATGCGAAGTATAACAAAATCTTGATTGAAGACCAGTCTGAAGATCCTGAACTGGAAGAAATGGCACGAAAAGTCAAAGTGAAACGAAAACAGTAGGAAAACCAGGTGAAGGAATTAACCGAAATCATCACTCAATTGGAGTCGGAGCCACGCGACCAAAAAGCTATCGACAAAATCAAAAGTGCGAATATCGCGAAAATTGGCACAATCAGCGGTGAAATTCTTGAAACCATTCGGACAGAGCTCAACACAAGCAATGCTTTTGCTACTATCTACGGTTCTATCCAAGAAATGGCATCCAATCAAAAAGATTTGCTTTCATTTATTATTTGAGCTTTGCAAAACATTTGACACTAATTTTTTTTACAAAAGTTTTGGATCTTCAGTCGCATACAAATTAACATGAGGACGTGCGCATAGAAGACGGAATATTAAAGAATGTGTAAATGAATCAATAAATTATATTCGATGAACATTGAACAGTGTTCAAATTCGAATAATTTTCTAGAAATGTCTTTTTATTATTCATATTTGAAAATTCTTGAAAGATGAAAAGCTACCTTCTAAGAACGCGAATGATCGTCAACAAAAGAGACACTACGATCGTCAGCACTTGGCGCGAAACGCACTCACTTGTTCGACTATAGCTGTGCCATATTCGTATCTTAATAACCATCCTAATAATTTTGAGAGATTATTGAGATCCGATCATAATACCGATAAATCTTAATAACGCTATCAACTTTTTATCAGG